TATGTAAGTACATAGGTACTTAACATTTTTTGGGGAATATACAAGAGAAAGTATATACATATGTATTGCATTTTGAAGTTACGTAAACCGAAGACATAAAATGTTTATGTTTAAATGTATTACCTATTTAAAAAAATTTTATATTTATTCACTTAAAATAATAATCAAAAATGTGAAATAAAATTTTTTATTATTTTATTATTATTATTTAATTTTACTCAACTTTGCTCTTATGCTAAAACAATGATTTCAAAGTTGAGTAAAAATTTCATCAATAAATGAAAGTAATTGTGCAAAAATTACCAATGAAAAGTAAAACATAACGTTTCTGGCCAGGAGACTCCTCATATGCGGTGGGTCGATATTTACTCTTTTTATTATGCTGCAAATCAATGTAGTATGCCAGTACGAATAAGAAAAGCGGAATACGCGGAAACTTGCCGGCGAGACAGCAGACCTCCCAGTCAGTGCTCGTTTTAAATTGAGGCGGGCAAACTGGAAAAAGAATAAAATGTTGCAAAAATCCGGCGTTGGGGTGCTCAGTCAATTGCGTTGATCAGTGTTTATGTACGTGCAAGTACTGGCCAACGTGTGTACATGTACACACAGCAGTCAGATCAACATGTTATAAACTGGTGTGCAACTAGTTATAAGCAACATTACATGGAAAATTAATCACAAACCCAACCAATCACGCGAAGATGTTCTACGAGAACATCGCCAGAGAGGAAGATTGTCACACTCGATCTAAAACACCAAGTTCCAAAACTACAACAATAAAGTTGTATGGGTAGAAGCACACCAGAAAGTAGTTCTATAAATGAAGTAAATGGGATAGTGTTCATTCAACTTCGGTTTCAGGTAGAATATACTAGTTACAAACTTTACTGGTACGATTCCCAACTAATTTTATGAATAAATGCAGGGTTAACATTCACACACAGCCTATGTTACACAGTTCAAGTAAACATGAAATAACGTTAACTTCAGTTGCACCGAAGCTATAATAAATACCTTTCACAAATACAAAAGATTCCATCCATCTTTATTTACATCGGTGAGTTTGTATGGCAGCTATATGCAATAGGCGTGCGATATCGGTGACTCCGACAAATGAGCAGTTTAGAAAGAAACAAGTAAGGAAGAGCTAAGTTCGGGTGTCACCGAACATTTTATACTCTCGCATCAAATACCGCATTTGTGTAAAGGTTTATTCCGCTAGCCCCATTGGTTGCTAATGGATATATTATACAGAGAAGGCAGATGGAATTCAAAATAGCGCTACATTGGAATAAGGCGTGGTTGTGAACCGATTTCACCCATATTTCGTACATGTCATCAGGGTGTTAAAAATTTTCAATTTTTAAAAAAAGCCTGGATGCAGCTTCCTTCTKCMATTTCTTCCGTAAAATTKAGTGTTTCTGACGTTTTTTGTTAGTCGGTTAACGCACTTTTAGTGATTTTCAACATAACCTTTGTATGGGAGGTGGGCGTGGTTATTATCCGATATCTTCCGTTTTTGAACTGTACATGGAAATGCATGAAGAAAATAACTCTGTCGAGTTTGGTCTACATAGCTATAGTAGTTTCCGAGATATGTTCCAAAGCTGTCTCTTATACACATCTAGATGTGTATAAGAGACAGGGTCTACATAGCTATAGTAGTTTCCGAGATATGTACGAAACAGTTAGTAGGGGGCGGGGCCACGCCCACTTAAAAAAAAATTACTTCCAAATATGCCTCTCCCTAATGCGATCCTTTACGCCAAATTTCACTTTAATATCTTTATTTATGGCTTAGTTATGACACTTTATAGGTTTTCGATTTTCGCCATTTTGTGGGCGTGGCAGTGGGCCGATTTTGCCCATCTTCGAACTTGACCATCTTATGAAGCCAAGTTTCATCATGTTATCTCAATTTTTACTCAAGTTACAGCTTGCACGGATGGACGGACAGACAGACTACTCGTCACCCTGCTCACTTTGGTATATATAACCCTGTATCTAACTCTTTTAGTTTTGTTACTTACAAACAATAGTTATGTGAATATATACTCTATAATACTCTCTTTAGCAACTTTGTTGCGAGAGTATAAAAAAAACGTTTGCAAAATGCAGATCACATCCTAAAAACTTAGAGAGTAGTTCATGTATACACAGACAGACAGGCGAATAAGGCTAATTCGACTCAGTTCGTCATGCTGATTACTTATATAGTACATATGTAAATTTGTTATAAGATCTCCAAAATTGCGTTCTAGGTATTACAAACTTCGTGACGAATTCAATATACCCTGTTCAGGGTATAAATACGTATTTAGTATATGGGGGCCTTTAAAATTTATGCAATGCTTACACTGGTGTATGTGCATGTGTGAGTGGTGCCTTATTGCGTACGTTGATTTACGATGTCGGCGAATGAATTGTGTAACAAGTGGCTGACGCGAGCAATATCAGTCTTTCATTGAGGGTCACTCAGCGGCTAATTAAAATGATTTGGCTGCAGACACAGCTCTCCGCCGATTCCACAGCATGGTTGTCATAGTCTACACTGTCTTCGTATTTAATCAAGAATCAATCGAAAGCACGCATGCGCAATAAAATCGAATAACTGTTGCTATACACGTACACAAATGTATTACTCCTATGCATATACTATACATATGTATGTATATCTTCTTCTTGACGCCAGTCGTTTCTTCTTTTCGCTACGTGGCGCCAATTAGATATTCCAAGTGAAGCCAGGTCCTTCTCCATTTGGTCCTTCCAACGGAGTGGAGGTCTTCCTCTTAGCCTAGCCAGCGTAGCCGCTGTGTTTTAATTCACTGAACTATGTCAATGTCGTCGTATATATCGTACAGCTCATCGTTCCATCGAATGCGATATTCGCCGTGGCCAACGCGCAAAGGGCTATAAATCTTTCGCAGAACTTTTCTCTTGAAAACTCGCAACATCGACTCATCTGTTGTTGACATCGTCCAAGCCTCTGCACTATATAGCAGGACGGGAATTATGAGTGACTTATAGAGTTTGGTGTTTGTTTGTCGGGAGAGGACTTTGCTTCTCAATTGCCTACGCTCATGTATATATATAAATGTTTTAAGGGGTTACATGGGTTTCCTTGGGCAAAAAACGAATCCTTTTCAATAATTTTTTTTACATATAAAAAATGAAATATTTTAATAAAATTTTTTTTATTTAAAAGACAGTCATTACGACGCCATTTCCGCGTTGTCAGCAGAACTTTCAGGATCATCTCAAATAAAAATAAAAAATACGTGTTTTAGTAAAGACAATAAACTAGGTATTGGACGAAAGAAAACAAAAAATTAAAACTGGATTTTTGGCTGACGTTTTTATGAAAATTTTTCGACATTTTTTTTATATAGTTGTAATTTAAAAAAAATCTTTCTTTCAAGAACTTGTAAATGATATCTCGAAGACCTGTGTAAAATTTCATCAAGATCGGTGAAGTATTTCACGAGAAATCTTGACAACGTTTAAAGTTTTACCTACTGCACCCTCAGCCTATACCTGACCTCGAGCGTCCACCTTTTCAAGGTTGTATCTCCGAAACTATTAGTCGGATCAATTTGAAAATTTAGGACACTATTCTAGAGATGTTATACAGCTTAATAAGATAAAAAAAAATGTTAGACTTTTTTAAACTGTGAAACCTATGTAACCTCTTAAAATAATTGCAACATATGGCTCAGCATGGGAAGTCGCTTGAGTTCTGTTACTTGCCTCTCAATTTCGGTTTGACCGTAAATTCGATTTTTCTTTGTTATTGTTGCTTCATTTCACAAGCTTGTTGAGTTTGTGGGTCAGAGCGTCCCCGTAACGGCGATTTATAGTTATGATATCCACCTTTCAAAACCGCTCGATTTTATTATTCGTCCCTTTAATTTAATGTACTTGTGTGAATCATTTTGAAATTTAAATCTTATAACCAGGTACTTCCACAAATATGGTTCCATATGATTACTGCTGTGGTATTGGTAAAGCTGTAGATTCAGTGGCATATTTTTGATTTAATTTCTTTGTAGAAAAAATCATCGGTTTCCAAAAATAAACGAGCTGAAGACACTTGCTAATGGTGTAAGGAAATCAGAAAGTTACTTAAATGAGAGGCCCATGTAGTTTAATTAGTGAGCCATTCCGTTCAAAAACAATTTAGGGCATTACGAAAAGAGTTATAGGTTAACGAACGTATCGTAAGAGAAAATTTTGATGGAAATGGTTACTTAGAATGTAAAATTTAGATCATTCATTCTAGAAAAGTTCTCTTGTATAATTATTATAAGTTTACAATTCAGTTGTTATTTTTTTTTTAATAGTGACCTATTCATGAACAATCTCAGTTTCAAACCTCTTTTAATCCAGACATACAAGTAATACAGAGATATAAGTAGTACTGAATACGTTTTCGAAGAATGCTGCCAATGAGTTCGTGACAGTATTGTCTCAGAATAGACTCGTATGTAAATACATATATTATATGCACACGAGCTTTCAAACTACCCAGAAAAGTTTCGACTATTTCACCGACAAAACTTTCTTAAGAACATATGTACATACTTACATATGTATGTACATAAACACTCAAGATACTTTTGTAGCGCGCTCATAACCATATATAGTATATGTATGAAAGTTTGGAGTTGTGGGTCACCTGTTATCCGGTAGCGTACATTAATATGACTGATAACAGCAGAGGCAAGCCTTATGAGCTTTGGGGAACGGCAAGTGAGCACAAATTGGAACATGTTAACAGATGTGAGTTGTAAACACGCAGTCAGTTGATAGATAAACTGAAATGTGAGAGCGCAAGTGCTGGTGCCGAAGAGTACGGAATGAACTGCAATGTGAGCCCTGCAATTTCAAAAATTTCTCGCTTTTATCTAATTGCCTATTAATTTGCATTTTCTATATTTTCAATTTGTTGATATGCACTTATTTGTAAGTTTTTTTCAATACTTTCTCTCGCCAACTCACAGAGCAACAAACGCGAAATCATGACAACTCCATTAAGATACAGCAGCAACAAGTTCAGAATCACAAGCAAATTCAGAGCAATGGCAAACAAAACATGACAAGAAAAAGTGAAGTACAGCCAGGTACAACTAACGGAGAGAGCAGCAATACAAGTGCTCATGTGATGGGCGGGACGGAAATTGCAACAGCGACAGAAAATGCTCCTTCGAGAGCAGCCGCAACTCCTCAATCAACATCAGTCTATACGGCTCACACAGCAGTAGCTTCGACGCCTGTGACAAGAAGCGCGGGCTCAAGTCTGGCATGCAGCACCGGTTATGCAACCATGCCACGCCGTAGCGTCAACAACAGCTGTGCTGGCGGCGGCAATAACGCGAAATGCGGAAGTGGCTGTGCGGTCAACCACAATGGCAAAGCGGCCAAGTCAGCTGATAAAACGTCGAGTGACGCGACGGCGGACAACTGCCGCAAATTGGCCGCCACTCTGGACAATCTCGATTTAGCAGTGGTGCGCGATTTGACTGATGACGACGGCGAGGACTCGTACACGGCCTTCCAGGAGTATCTGGAGCGAGTAGAGGTGAGTTGAAAAAAATAATATTTGTTCTTGCAATGTTTTTATCTATTTGTCAAACACGTATGTATACATATATAACAGTAAATATTGAGAGTTAACTCAAATACAGAAAGTAAAAAATTTTCATTTACGCAACTTTTGTTTGTGTTCACCCATGTTGGTGCGTCCACGTCGGATTTGTGTTTATGCTATTAGCTTTTTTGCACAATTTTTTCACAGTTAAAAGTGCCCATACACAACACACAAGTGCGTTCGATCGGTATGTGTACTCATGCGGTTTATGCGTGCATGGGCTTGTGCGCGTATCGATCATGTTCGCGAAAATGTTTGATTTTTTACGATCGGTGTGCGAACATGTGTGTCGTGTATGGAGTTGTGTGCGCGCAAAACCTTATTTCTCTCATGTCGCCCATCAGTGAAGATCGCGGATGAACAAGTGTTAAGGGGGGAGCCTGCTTTAGAGGCTTCAAAAAATCGATTTTTATGAGGATTTTTTTTTGGAGGGAAAGAAATAATTGATTCAAGTGAAATTTCTAGGCTTTATAGTTATATATTTGATCATCTTTCACACATTTTTTGGATACGAAATCTTTGATATTCTGGCTTTGGGAAGCAATTGCCCGATGCATCTCGCATGTGCATTTTTCGGATGGCGGGCAAAATTCTAAAGATTCATATTTGTTAATAACTTATATTCTAGTTAAACTAAGAGAATTCCAAAAAAATTTGTAAAATTAAAAAAAAACTTAAAAATTTAAAAAAGTGGGTTTTGTCCAAATAAATTTTACTTAATGTTGTTTAAAAATATGTTCAAACTTGACTTTTCTTAGTTTATTTATTATAGTTTAAAAAGAAGATACTTTAATGTCAGAGATAATAAACTTTGCCCCGTATTCCATACGACGTGTAGTCGGCAATTAAGAAAAATCGTAAAAATTAAAAACAGAGAAATCGCGAGGCAAAGTTTTCGCTTTTCGCCCAAACGCTCATATATCTGCTAGACGCTCGATCACTATTTCCCTTCTAGCTTTTCGAATTCCCATCTATAACTGTGGGGACATATTCTTAGATAATTTTTAAAGACATTTAAGCAAAAAACAAAAAAAAAAAAGGAATTGATTGTTTGAAGCTTCTAAAGCAGGCTACCCCATTATTAAAGATTTCGTCTCAGAATTTATTAATATTTTAAAAAATTAATTAGCAATTTGGCAAACGAAAAGTGATAAATATAAAAATTAAATTGAGAAAAATAAAAGTTGGATTAACTTATTAACGAAATACAAAGAAATAGATAAAAGTGCCACATTAGAAAAAAATTCCAAGAAATGTTTCGCTTGCTTGTGGCACGTATTATGTGAAGAACGAACGAAAATGGATTTGTGTGTCGTGTATGGGCGAAATGAATTCACACAGATCCAACGCACATGTGTGTCGTGTATGAGCCCTATAAGCTAAAGCAAGCGTTGCTATTTTGCATTTTGTTTTTGAATGTGCGTCCATGCCACACAAATCCGCTTATGTCGCCATAAAGCTTAAATTGCGCACGCGCATGTGCACTCGCTTGCACATACGTTTATGCGGTGCGTTGTTTCGCAATTCAGTTTGCCTTTTTTGTATCGTAAATACCGAATGTTTAATGGGTACCTTACCCCATCGTGTCGCATGTCAACTGGAATGATCATGTAAGCAAGAATACACTAATGCAAACATATCCAATAGGGTGATCGATTTAGATGGAAAATAGTACATATATACATACTATATATTATAACGAATATAACTCCCGAATTAAAATTAAAATATGTAAAAGACTGTTTTAGCTTCCTCCGATTCGCTATTTCTCTTTGAGCGCACTTCTCTTGCCAGAAAAATTGTCGTAAAATAACAAAAAAGCGATGGAGTTGAATCCGTACATCAGAGTATGCAAATATCTCACTGTCAGAAGACATGCTAGCGCAGGGCTGTACTACAAGTGTTGCCCATTTGTTTGAACATATGATGAAGTGTATTCGATTTGCCCCTCTCCAAAGCTTGGCGAATCAAATACAGCTATTATTACGAAGTTTTAATTTAAAAGCGTATCTTAAGTCTCTTTATCGTTTATAGGAGGGAGGTGTGTTAACGAGCTGAATGCTTTACGTCGCGTTTTCAATTTGATTATAAAGTTCCACATAAATATTTTAATATAGGGTTTACTAATTTGATTGAGAAGATAAAACTAAAACAAAAATTTGCCGGTGTAATTTTGCCAAAGTGCACCCTAAAGCATTCGCGGAAAACTTAGTTTCCAAAAAAATTATGTTGCAAATGATTTTTTGTATTTTCACAACTATTTGAAGTCGTATAATTACACAAATTTGCACATAAATATTTATATGCAAATTTTTTAACAACAGACAATCCCATTTGTGCAAAGTACTTAATTTTCTTATCTCTCGTTAATTATGTTTAGTATTGCTCAGGAGCTTAACGCCAAGCTCGCTGAAATATACTAAATATCAAAGCCCAACAGTGAAAGCTGTTTCCAACAAAAGACATATTAAGAAGCTTTTTTTAATTGCAAAATACTTTTGGTTTACGAAAACTCAAATCAGAAAATCTATATATTATTTACAAAAATTAAATAATTTTGGTCAGAGGATGCATAATTTATTTAGCTGTATACATATATAAGTATGTATAATTATATACTTCTAAATGACATTTAATTCACTTCAAATACTATTTAATAGCTTTTTAATAGCGCAATTCTATAAATAACCTCTAGCCGCTATTTGAGAGATAAACATAATAAATTAATTCAGTAATTCATTAAATAACTTTTAGTTAACAACTAGAGTATTTACGCTTATCAAAGAAGAGGCTCGTTAGAATTCCCATTTGGTCTATATAACAAGTTGATCCCATTAAGCAAATTAATGCGAAGTTTATGTTTTGTTGTTACTTAAATGCACTTTCTCCAAAAATGAAAGAAGCGATTTGAAATAAAGCCAGCCACAAGAACTTGACACAATCAAGTGACTTTAAATCCCTTTTGTGCCACCGAGCTCAACGCAATGTGGCACGCCGACGTCTAAGTCTGTCGTCGACGCCTTTGTGGCATTAACTATAACAAAACTGTTATAAATAGCAAAAGGCTCTGAACTTAGCTCGCCCCGTTGTATGAGATCACGAAGAAAGCGGAATAAACGTTGCAATACATATGAGTGTATATATATATATATACATATATATATGTATGGGACGGATGGCAAACAGGAAGGCAGCTAATGATGATAAAATGTGTCATAGCGCTGGCTGCCCACGCATCAGCACAGCAACCAAATTATGGTAGACGATAGCTCACGTTCCATCCCGCCCGGTGAACCAAACCAACCCAAAGGCTGATGCAACGCGCGACTTCAGTTAAATGGCGCGATATCCTGAACGATTGCGATGGCGACGGCGCGCCAATGCTATGTCAGTGCCGTTATTCGCGCCAAAATTGGTTGTTGTGCTGCAATTTGTGCTCTTTTCTTTTTGCGACGGAAATAATTGTGCAATATTTTGCATTTATTGCCAAACCAGCAACAGCCACAGGCGAAAGAAACCACTTTCGCACTACATGAAGCGCTCTGCGCAAAGCGGAGGCTTAATTTGTTAAATTTTGGTGCAAATTATGATTGCGAAGACGCATAGGCGGCTTTTGTTCTTCTGATTTTATTTCAAATTGACCTACATTCACAAGTTGGGTGTACATACTTAAGCAATGCGCGACTGCCTGAAGGAGTCGAATGAATCTCGCAAAGCAAGGAGAGGCTTTTATGATAATGAAAAGAAACCAGAGTTGAATTCTTGGCAAGTTACTAAAAATCTAATAATCTGCACACAATTATGAAAAAAGTTAATAATTTCCGGTTGCAAGTACCACCTAATCAGCGACACTAAACTAAAATTGTTTCCCCGTTCAGATTTAACTAGATAATTTTAAGTGGAAAATTCATATAAGTAAGCTATCATTTGATAAAGCACAGCCATGTTTGCTTAGGACACAACGTCGTAGTTTTAGTATTTAGTTTAGTTTTTACATTTTGTAAATTATTTATTATTGCAAACAATCAAAATGAATGGGTAAACAAACATTCATTAAATATGCATTTTTCCATCTAACACATTTACAAGAAAACAAAGCAAAAAACGGTTGACAAATGGGCCCATCCTAAAAAAGTTATTTTCGATAAGATCTGCATGCTAACCGCCATTGCGACCTCAGCCGCAGCACATTGCAGCCACGTACGAAGATTTAAATTTTATATTCATATTTAATAAATTTAAATGGAATACATTACCGTTTTACGGGCAACACCCATCAAAATTCCTGCGCGAAATTCAAACAACCAGTCAACAACAGCAAGTAGGCGTAAATGTAGACGACCAGAGGCACGAAAAGAGAGGCACGAGGCTGTATGAAAAAACCAAAAAAAAAAAAACAAAAAAGAAATATAGACGCAGATAAAGATAATTAAAAAATCACTGGCGTGCATCCCATGACGGTTCTCTGAAACCGAGAAGAGACAGCGTAGAGATGAGTGAATTGCTTGAGTTAAACACGCAATACTGCTGTATAAATCTTTTACTGCAATGAAACCATTCAAAAAACAAAAATCGCTTATAATTGCGCGTGGCATATGCAACTTGAGCAACTCATTACGTATGCGCATGCGTTGCGCTAGAGTACGTGTGTAATTACAGCAGCTATTATGCAACTCGAATTGATTGAAACCGTTATGTGTTGTTGTAGAAGTAATAAAAACAAAACTTTTGAAAGTTGCCGCATTTTCTTGACCACATTTGGTGTTGCCACAAAGCGATGCAATAACATTAACGCCGACGAGGTAGCCGAGTGACACAACAGCGGAGTTAAACGTCTTTCAAGAAAAATCCGAATGAACCAACAACCCTGCTTTGGACTTCCATGGAACTGTTAGTAGCTTGATATTCTGTTTCGGCCAACAGACACAGGG